GCTATGATTTAAATTAATTACATGCTGTAAACAACACTTATTTAATTAAAAATTTTTATTTAAACCAAATTTGTTACACAACAATTTTTTAAGACAAAGTAATATATATATATAATATCAGGACCACATCCCTGATATATTGGGTTGTATTTAGCTCAAATAAGCAAGTCGTGAACCAATTAGTTCTTCATAAGTTTTATTTAAGGGTAGGCTGGTGGCTATAACAGTTAGCACCCATTCTCCACATTGGAGGGGGTGGACAACACTCTCAGACGATTCCGTCACAGCTTATCAGGTCCACACCATACTTGAGAAAGGCACATAAAAACTATTGTTCCTGTATTAAGTACTAACACAAAAGGAGGTAAAAAGGCTCAGTCGTGCATACCTTGTAACTCTGCGCATCATCGATAATCATTTAATGCTTTTTAATATGGGAGGGAAAGATTTTAAAATAACTCCTCCTTTGAAATATAAATCTAATTATAATTCATTGGTATGTTTTCAGCCTTGAAGTCCCAAAATAGAATATCTCTACACCTATTCTTTACCAAAGACATTTTATGAAAATGAAAGAGTTTTAATGCTTTTGTTAATACAAAAGTATTTTTTATAATTTTTATATTACATATATATATACACACTCTATAACAAAAAAATCGACGCACCAAGAAGCAATCGTGCGATTGCTTTGAAATTTCGTATTCATGAATGTTTTGAACAGATATGGCTGGAATGATGCCAACTGGGGACGTATAGTCTTTAGCGACGAATCCCGCTTCCAACTGTGTCCTGGCGATCATCGAAGACATGTTTGGAGACGCACAGAGCAGAGGGGGGAGCCTGCCTCACTATTGCACGCCACACCGGCCCTCAACAAGGCAATTTGGTCTGGGGTGCCATTTCCTTTGACAGCCGGACCCCTTTGGTCGTCATTAGAGGTACACTTACTGCACAGCAGTACGTCGACGACATCCTAAGACCTGTTTTGCTACCGTTCCTTTTGCAGCGCCCTGGGCTGGTTTTTCAGCAGGACAATGCCAGACCACATATGGCGTGGACAGTTCATAGCGTGTTGCTATGAACTGTCTGCAAGCTTGTCAAACTCTTCCTTGTCTGCCAGATCACTCCCTCATCGAGCATGTCAGGGATATGATGGGACGGCGATTGCATCTGGCACGGAATGTTGATGACCTCGTTCGACAATTGGATTGAATTTGGCAGAAAATACCGCAAGAGACCATCAGGGAGCTTTATCGGTCTATGCCACGCCGTGTGGCAGCTTGTATCCAGGCTAGAGGCGGGTCAACACCTTATTGAACTTGTTACTGTAACTCTGCAATAAATTATTCAATTGTTCTGAAATTTTAATCATTTACTATTCTGTACATTGTCTTCCT